TCCAGGCAGATTAATATAAATTCCGAAACGCAAAAACAAATAAACAAACTGACCGACACCATTAACAAAATTATTAAAGCCCGAAATAACGATTTGGTTGACACCCCGCATCTGTACGAGGCACTACTAGCGAGAAATAGAATGCTGACAACAGAGATACAAAATTTAATTCTCACTGTAACATTGGCTAAAGCTAACATAGTAAATCCCACAATCCTTAATCATGCCGATCTGAAATCACTAATTGAACAAGACACTCCAATAGTTAGCTTATTAGAAGCCTCTAAAATTAGGGTTCTTCAGTCCGACAGCATTATCCATATACTAATAGCCTATCCTAGAGTCAAGGCTAGATGTAAGAAAGTCCTCGTATACCCGGTATCACACTATCAAGTGTGACGAAGTGTCGACGAAGACACTTTGGCAGAATGTGAAGAAGACACCTTTTCGGTCACCGAGTGCGTAGAGACCACGCACAACACCTTCTGCGAGCGGTCTCGACGTGAAACCTGCGCCCGCTCCCTCCATGAGGGCAGTAATGCCTATAGATGACGGCATTATTATTATTATTATGCCTGGGTTATTATTAACGAGGCAACAGCCCGCGTCAGCACAACGGCGGCCGCGAGGTGCTCGTCAAAGGAACGCATCTGGTAACTTTCGAGCGATCAGCTACCATCAACAGAACGGAATTCGTAAATTTCCGGAAAACAATAGACAAGCAGCCTGGCGTAGTAAGATCACCACTACTGAACATCGTCGATACTGACCCGGTACTGAGCATGCCCTTGCTACAAAGCATGAACAACGACAACCTGCGCTTTATCCAAGGGTTCAAAGACGAAGTTGACGCCGCGGGTTCTCCCAAACTTTGGTTCGTGGCTGGAGTAGTCCTTAACGTTGGTCTGATTGGTTCACTCATCCTTTTTTTGGCATTAAGGAGAAGGCGAGCCTCCGTTGAGATACAACAAACGATCGATAAACTTAATTTAACCGAGGACGGTCAAATTCTGAGGGGGGGAGTAGTTAACAACTAAGAGCACAGCTATATTTAAACAATGCTGACGCGCCCTAACTGCGCTACGAACGGTCAGCAACGGCAATCGGACACCCCTTATCCGGGGTACCGAGCTATGTTGCATAAATGCTGAGTCGGCTTGCCGACCATGGGTTTATGGCGTGATGCATTGGAGCTAGAGTAGATCCATATTTTTCATATTCTTTGTATTCAGTTTTAAGCTAGCACTTTAGCAATAAAGAACAGCTACTCCGGCACTTGGCCGTAAAATACCATTTCTTTATAATGAACATTCTCGCTGAGCCAAAAGGCCAACGGTCGACCAAGGGGGCAAAGTCCGCCCTCCATCCTAATCTCACCACAAGTCACCACTCTCTGGCTTAACAGCTGGACACCGAGGACTCTGGAAGAAGAACCACCAGTGTCTGGAGTCGCAGAAGACATCCGGACGGGAGGAAAAAGCTAATTTACAGACAAATCGGAATCTTTTAGATTCCCAAAGTGGACACCCTTCTCAGCAGATGGTCCCAATCCTTTTTAGCTGCTTATCCTAGCAACATTTGAAGGGTTGCTGCCATCGACAGCTGAGCGAGCGTTTCAGGAATTCCGTTTAGGCAGCCTACCAACAGCGCCTTTTTGGCGCTTTGGAGATTCCTCTAATATCTAATGGCTATTAATCTTCGAATCTAGCGCAGAATTGAGATCATCACCTCGTCTATATCTAGTTCCGCCAAAACTGCTGATCAGACCTTGTTTGACCTATAGAACCAGCGCACTTAGTGTGTACTATTTTATCGCACAGCCAACAAGTCATGGCTGCTCAGGCTTTTTTATCAGACGGCATGTGTTTTTTTGGAAGCACACCACATTTGTTTCCATCATTTGTTTACTCCGGACCACTACGCACGGAAACAAAATCGAAACTTGCAAGTGAGCAGTTAAATGTGCAGCACGAGCGCAGTCTGCACACTTAGAACTTGGAATTTTGTGTGGGAGAGCGAGAGAGCGGGTGCACATTGCAGTTACAAAACTGCAAAACATCAAGCCGCAGTACGGACAACGCACTAAAGAGACAGTAAACAAAACACAAATACAAAAAAACAAAATTTAAAACAAATACACAAAAATGTGTTAAAATTGTGGACAAATCATAGTAGATTTACTCCATGGGTGATTCTCTGTTCTCTTTAAACACTGTTTTGAGAATGGCAATCTTCTGGCTTCCCAAGCACGTCTCATATATTATTTTCTAAAACAATATGTTTGATTTGAATTTTACTTAGTGGGTGGTCTGCATATTCCTAGCCTTTGGTGAAGAAATGTTGCTACTGTGTTAATTCTGGGAACCATACTTTTTGTATTTAAGCCAGTGTGTTCGATGCTATGTCTACCTGTGAAGGTGCTCTATTATATCCGTGCTTTGAAAAAAATAATCATATACCATCACATTTGGAAAGATTTTTTTTTTTTAAAGCTAAATTAATTAAATTGTGAAGCTTTTTGGAATCTGTATGTCATTATGTGGTTTTGATGGTTGCGTTGGGTTAGAAATAACGGCAAATAACGAGTCCAATAGCACGTCCAATGGCCACCACCGATCAAATAGTAATTTACTCCAAAATAATTGGCCAAGTTAAAAAATAGGAGACCTACAGAACACTTAGCCTATTAATCGAATCACGGAATCCTGGAAGGAAGATCAATTTATATATCTTCTACTACGACGAAATCCTATTATTAATGTTTTAAAGAAGATCTTGACTATCATAGCCTATCAGCGATCGTTTATGAAATTTGTACATACAGCTGAAGTCAAAATAATAGTAGTGTTCAGAGGTTTTCAAACAATAAAAAAAAAAAACACCTTTCAAAAGGTGTTCACAAAATTTTTTTAATTTTCAATGTAACTTAACTCATCGTAGAAAATAGAATTTGGATAATTCATAAAAATATTCAGAATGAAATGCAAATATGAAATTGGACCTACATTTGATAGTCAAAGTGATTTTTTTCAAACAGCATCACAGCCAAATAAAACATTTTAAGTTTAAATAATAAAATCTTTTTGTTTGCAATAATGGACGCACAGCGCTTATGCATGGAATCAACCAAATTCCAGCATCTCTTCACAAGAATAGAGTTCCAAAACCTTTGTTCAGCTTCCCAGAGCTCTCTCTAATTCGCACCAAAAATTCTCAATTGGATTGAGATCGGGTGACTGTGCGAGTCACTTCATGATATCGACTTGATTTGCTGCGAACCACTCTTTGGCGAGTTTACTTGTATGCTTTGGTTCATTGTCCTGTTGGAACGTCAAAACAAGTGGCATGTCCTCGGAGGCATATGGGAGCATCACGTCGTTTAAAATTTTGAGATATAAATAACGGTCCATGTGTTTTTGATCCAATATACTTGTCCAACCCCATATTACGAAAAACTCGCCCAAATCATAATCGATGAACCACCGCGCCTAACCGTTCTTAAGGTATATTTCGGAAAGAAAGCACATAAGGGTGGTCGTCTAACAAACTGCCGAGAGCCATGGCCTCCAAACTAAACTATCTTGGACTCATCCGACCACCAAATATTCCTACATTTCTCCAAAGGCCAATTAAAGTGGAATCTTGCAAACTTCAAACGTTTGGCTAAATGTTTTTTTGTTAGCAAAGACTTTTTTTGGACTTCTTGAAATGAAGTTTTCATCTCTGAGACGTCTTCTTGTTGTTTAAAAACTAACATTAGGATTACAAGTTTTATTTAGTGCTGCAGTAGACGCGAAAAGCTCGATTCTTGTCTGTCTTGCTAAGCGATCTACTGACCTTTTGGTCAATAATTAAGGCAGACTGCGCATTTCATTTGCTGGTTCATATTTGATAGCACTTCTTATCATAGTAGAAGAGCACCCGATAATATTTTGTACTTCGACATAAGTCTTTCCAGTAGAAATCAGTTTTTAATGAGTTCCCGCCTCTCGACAGAACAGTGTTTGCCACGCCCCCACTCGGTATTTAATATTAATGAAGAGTCTAAAAATGGTGGGAATGGTATCAAAAACATGAGTAAAAAGCGATTAAATTAAATTATTCTTGTTAATTTATCTGGCACTACTATTATTTTGACTGGGTCAAACTAGTGAATACTTGCAATTAAAGGCGAAAAATAATGTAAAACAAGAAGAAAACCGAACAAAACTTCACATTCTTATAGAATAGAGAATTATAGTTACTTGTGTGAAAAAATATTCAAATATGTGAAGGAATGGAGGAAATAATGAGAAATTACGTGTTCCTTCACCGGCACTTCTATTATTTTGACCGCAACTGTACATATGTATATCAATGTCTCCGTTAAGCTAGTACAAAAGCCGAAGTGCAATATTTAAAAACAAAAAAAGCCCATCGAAACATAGTGAACATCCACATTTTTAGGTGCAAGATAAAAATACAATGGAAACATCATTAGCATAAGCTAAATTTTAAAATCCCTCAATATTTCGCATATCGATATAAATTAGCAACACAAATTTTTATATGGACGTGGCAATGTTCTGAAACAAACTTGCACAGCGTTGGCTTATTATTAACATTCTATTAGTTTATTTATAGTCTCTCATCCCTTTACCTACAATACTCTGAATCTAGTAAAAAAAATACCATTTTCTATAAATATTTTAACTAAAAGGCGTTAAAACTCCAAGGAGAGTCAAATGTTGATCGATGTATAGTGGGGTCGAGGCGTATGACGGTTTGTAAGTAATGTTTTTTTTTTTTAATGAGTCAATGTATTATTTATCAAGATTATTCGGATAGATAGACGGAAGGACTAGGCGGACATGACCAGATCGAATCAGCTAGTAATCCTGATAAAAAATATATAAATTTTAGGGTGTGAAACCTTTTTACATATTTTTCAACGAATCTAGTACACTCTACACTAATCTGCCAGTAATGGGTATAAAAAGATTAATATATACCAATGTCACTGAGATTTCTGATACATTTTTAGATTTACTATACTACAATTTACTTTGTATTTAGCTTCCTCGTTTATCAAATGATTTAATGAGGTGAAGTACTTGATAAAGTGAAAGTACTTGATACTTGATACGTTAAAGATACGTTTAATAATAAAAGAGAAGCTGTAAAATGTAATAACAGCTTAAAACATTTTGGCATCTCCAATTAAACACTGTCTCAGTAGACTTCCTCTTCCATCGAAAAGTCGGAGGTTTCACCGGCGTATAGAGAACTAAAATATGGAAATTCAATAAAGTAATTATATTTAACAATAAGGTTTACTTACTTCACTGCTCGACTTGTAAAAAAAACAATTCGTTTTAATTTCTTATTATAAAAGAAGTAATTAAATGACCACAAGCAGCCTGGTTCGCCAAAAGGATCGCAACTTAGATCTGGATTATAACTGTATATGTCACATTCTGATAGGATCACTTCGTCATCAACGGCAGACCATAATGGTTGACGTATAACTTGATACTGATCTCCCGCTAATGCCGATAAATTTGCATGGATTGAGTTCATAACCCACTGCAATGATGGCTCTTTGCTAAATTCATGAGACTTTAAAAAGCTTTAGAACAAACAACGCAAATTAGACATAATAAAAATTTACCTTTGCTTCAGAAAAATCGTAGTCTGGCTCAAAAGACGCATTTAAAGTAGCAATTAAATAAAACAAAGTTTTTCTAGAAATGGTATCACAAAGAGTAATGCCTTCATCTCCAGATTGACTGTTGTTTCGACGAAAGTTGGGCGAAAAGTCCGCCAAAGTTTGTGGAGGTGATAACGCCTGAAGGTCATGCCCATGAGAATCTGCTGTAAATCGCTTATACAATACTTTCTCGGCTGCAACCATTTTGCTATAATGAAGACCATTTAAAAAATAGTTTTGTGTAACTAAATAAACATACCATGAATAACTTTCTATCCGTCCAAAAATAGTAATGCCACTTGTTTGTATAGAAAGGGCGTTGTTTATAGCCTCAAAACGTGAACTTTCAAGTAACTTCATGATTTATGAAGTAAATTTAAATGATACATATAATATTCAAGTTATCGATAGGGTAACAATAAGAATCTTCATGCAGAATAATTTTTACACAGACTTGTGTCTTATTATGTTTTGTTGATTCATAATATATCTTGCTTGAAATGTTTGAATTTCAAACAGACAAACTAGCATTCGGTCCGATTTAACTACTCTGAGCATTGTTCTTGGGTTTCCTATCCAACTGGTTTATCCTTGACAAAATAAATGTATTTTCGCCTTCCGTGTAATGTAATTGATTGCAGATCCTTAAACATAAATAAAATTAAAACGGTTAGTTTCACAATGAGTTCTTATATACATTTTTATTTAGTATAATATTTGTTACAAATTTGTCACTAGAATCGGTATGCTAATCTGAAGTTTCTACACATGTGCAAATAGCTTTTATACATAGTTATCTTCTACCTTTTATGTATATACATACATATAATGAATATTGTACACCCTTTTACTCTACGAGTAACATGTATGAAAATGTAAATAAATGTGTATCAATGGGCAATGTTGCTTTGTTGATATACTTCGCTTTGTTAGGAAGATTATGACAAAGGGATATTACAAAGTATTCTGACACACAAACAAAATTTTATTTAATTAATGGCTTGAATAATATTTAGATGTTTACCGCTATATAATATTTATATATATATTTACATATACATATATTTACATATATATATAAGAAGCGTACAAAAACTTTATTACGGCTGTCATAATATTCATCAGTCTCCAATGCTCTATATCGCAAGAACCAAATAAAATAAAGTTCTAGGCCTTTTTCGTAATACCTTGTTTATGGTTGTAGTTACACCACTATGTATTGAATTCATATACCTTGATCAAACATAAATAAAGTTATCGTATGTTCACTGATGAAATAAATTTGTGATTTATGGTGTCCACTACACTTACAAGTAACGAACTAGTGACTCATTTTTTGAGGTATATTGGACCCAAATGCAAAGAGTTATACATTAACTTGTTTTAAAACTACACGTACCAATTCTAATTAAAATTAAATAAGTTAATTATTGACACTAAAGAACTACAAGAGGGTTCGTCAACATTGCGCGCCAAGCTAACGTCAAAAAGTTATATGCTATTACGGAACGGTGGTAAAAAATCATGTGCCCCTCCTTTTATTTTTTGAGTTTTTAAAATTTATCGGTACATGTTCGATAAAACAATCGACATATGGTTACATCGATCTTACAATTTTCTAATATTTACTTTATTTATTTCAATTAGTTAAAGGTAAATTACAACATGAAATAAAAAAAGAGTTCCTTAACGATTATCCAGGGGACACATTTTATAATATTATTAGCAAATCGAAAAAAGTTGGTATAAATAATAATAGTACTTATAATAGTGTAAATATAAAGTCTAAATGTATATAATGTAAAGTGTAATTATTTATAAATATAATATCGCTAAGATAAGATTGCCATCGATCGTGCATGATCGAGGAATAGCGAGCACTCTCTCTCGAGAGCGCCAAACGAAGACACGTAAAATAATAAAGTAAAGAAAATACAAGTTATACATATCAGGTATGGGGTACAGGCCGTATAATGCGTTGGGCCAAAATTCAATTTCGTGTGGATATCTAATTGTTCCACAACAAATGTCTTACAAAAAGAAATAATGAAAAGTAGGTCAGACGACAAGACAAGGTCTAAACATTAAAAAAAGAAAAAATAATGAAAACTGTTTTATTGAATATGAAAAAAAGGAAAAAAAATTAAAAATTATTAATAAAGGCACCATAATCTATGGTAAAGAATTCAAAGACAAAATAAAAGTAATAAATACATATTTAAAAATAAAAAATTAAGGGGAAATAAAAAAAATTTATGTTACTAAAATAAACTCTCATAATGTCAACGATAATTGAGGGAACGTTAGAAAGAGAGCCTCTGTTTCTTTTAAGAAGAATACAAGTACTCAGCCAGTTTCGCACGTTTATAAGCGTAAATGAATTTGAAGGAGCTTATATCGACATGTTCGACAGCCCAATAAGCCCTTTATTCCACTGTTCCGAAAAAAAATTATATGGTCTTGTCCATATTACCTTACGTGATATATATATTTCGATGAAACAACAATATTATTGGTCCGCCTACCCCGGTAATCTATATCACTTTAAAATATATAAATGGACTGGCAGACCTTAATAAAAGAGTAAATAAAAGTCGCATAAATGTCTCAGCCAGAATAGACATATTCAACATGGCACCATCAGTAGGCATGCCCGAAAAATGAGCAGAGAGACAAATTAGAAAAGGCCCATTGGTCTAAAGTATCATCATTTTTGATCAGACTTCGATCAAATTTAATAATTGTAAAGGAAAAATCAAATTTTGATATAACAGTCCCGACAATCCTAAATACCCCATTAATATTGGGATCAAGCAAGACAGAATCAGTTGCAACAGAAACAATTAACTCGGAAGAGCAAGAAGGCTCTGCTACTTATACTGAAAATTCTGAAATAGAGGAAAAGAAAATACATAACGGGAATACAACGGGCATACAAAAAAATCATCTCAAATGCCATTCCAGAATTCAATGGTGAAGAGATTCATTTGAAAAAAATTGTTAGTGCGCTGACTGGTCAATTTAACAAAAGGACCTTACGAAGTCATAGCAGTTCAAGTAATAAAATCTAAAATTGTAGGAGTGAGTAAAAATTGTGACCATGGAAGACTAAAGACAATCCTGGAGGCTGGCAATTTTTCGACTATGAACGAAGCTATCACAAAATATATACAAAGTAGCAATGACATGACAGGAAATCCCCAATCAATACTTTATACCAGTAGAGGTCAGCCCTATCGCGGTAATAATTATCGGAATAATTATCGTGGTAGAGGAAACAATCGTAGTAACTACTACAACAACGGCTACTACCAAAATAATGGATACTACAGAAGTAATAACCAGACAATAGACGACAAGGAAATTACGAGGAAACAACCGGGGTGGAGCCAATAATGGCCACACTTACAACAACAATTATGTCAATAACAGACAAAATAATATTACCCGACAGATATAAACTGTACCGGAAAACGAATAGACCACATTATATAAAACAATTAAAACAAAAAAATTAATGTATTAATCTAAACTCAAACCAGCATTTCGATAAAAAACGATCATACTTAAAACCTATACACATTATTAGTTGATACAGGTGCAGAAAATTCCTTAATAAAAGAAAATTCGGATTCATTCAGAAACATAGATTACAGAGAAATTTGTCAAATATCAGGCATTGGTGAAGAAACGACAAGTTCAAAAGGATTAGTATTAATAGAACTACTTTCTTCAAACTTTGCTATTCCACTCCATTTTCATTTAATAGAATCGAATTTCCCTATTCCGTGCGATGGCATAACTGACATATAACAGTCAAATACACAGAAAACGACTGGCTCATACCAGATAATATATATCACCCTATTAAAATACCAATACACCATAACCTTTAAAACAATTCAACTGTTTTATTAGCAAGATCCGAAGTCGTCCGAAAAACTTCAATACAACCCGACACAAAATTAACACACATACCAAACCAAGAAATCCAAAATGGAATATTGATTGGAAATGCAGATTCCAAAAATACCCTCATCCGCAATCTTAGCACAACAAAAAAAAAAACGAAATCATTGAATTAAAAAGGATAAAAGTAGAACCTCTAGAAAATTACGAAATAATTAAAACTAAAAAACAAGTAAATCAAGAAAACAAGAAATTTTAAATAAACTAAACAAGAACTTTTCAGCACAATTCAAAGGAATTCTAAACGAATTATGCACCAAGTACGTAGATATATTCGGAATAGAAACCAAACCGATGTCAACCTACAACTAAATAAACAAAACAAAAAATAAGAATAAGGGATGAGGAGCCAATATACTTAAAAAACTACCGAATCCAGCATAGTCATAAAGAAGAAGTAGACAAACAAGGAAACAAATTAATAAAAGACAAAATAGTAAAACCATCCATCTCTAAATATAACAGTCCATTACGTATAGTACCGTACGCATACAGTACGTATCTTAAGGGAAAAGACAACCTAAAGACAAACCTATCCGACTTAAAGAACATGAACACTAATAATTTAATTATAAATGTTACCATAAGAAAACTAAACAGAAAAATTCCTGCGCAGGAAAAGTCCAAGTTGATTTGCCTAGGAACACTCAAAATAAAGCTCAGTCCAACGTATACGAATTCATTGCGAATAGCGGTGACCGTAGTAAATAATGAAAAAGATAAAGAAGCAATACTGTTTACATTCCATGATGATCCAATACAAGAAGGTCATACAGTCATATCTTGAACATTAGCTAAAATAAAGAGACAATATTGGAAAAACATGACACATGAACACAAAGACCCATATGACCGAAACGCCATGGCTTTCGAGAGGATAATTGTGGATACGATCGGTCCACTACCGAGATCTGAAAAAGGAAATTAATATGCAGTAACCTTAATCTGCGACTTATCAAAATACCTTGTTATAATCCCAATTAAAAACAAAAGTCCAAGTACAGTAGCAAACGTTCATTACGGACATGGGAACAGAATACAAAAATTCAATCTGAAATCAAAATTTAAATATTAAAAACATAACATCTACTGCACACCATCACCAGACATTAGGAACTGTAGAAATAAGTAATAGAACATTGCAAAAATGCATCACTTCCTATATTTCAATAGACAAAACCGACTGGGACACTTGGCTCCCATATTTCACGTACTGTTACAACACTACGTCCTCTATGGCACATTATTACTGTACATATGAGCTGGTATTCGGCAAAACATCGAACTTAACAATACACTTTAATAGTATAGATAGAATACAATGTACAATGTGGACGATTACACTAAGGACTCGAAGAATAGGTTAGAAGTAGCTTATAAAAGAGCTAGGATAATGATAGAAGATAATAAAAAAAAAATAAGGAATTATATTATATGGTAGTAAACTTAAAGATTTTCAACTAAAAGTAGGAGACCAAGTATTGCTTAAAAACGAAACAAGTCACAAGTTAGATTTTAAATATACTATGGTCCAGTATAAAGTAAAAAATGGTGAAAATAATGAAAATATAATAATAAAATAATAATAATAAAAATCAAATAATAAAAAATAAATAAATAATACCAAATAAAAAACAAAAAGTACATAAACATAGATTGAAAATTTTCTATTCATAATCCATAGTTTGGCCATACATAAGTAATATAAAGAATATATATATAGTGACATATCCATAGGTCCCTTAGACTTAAGCACATGCCTACTTATTTACACACACAACAAGCATACCCAATACTACCCTATACCTCACAATTGTAAATCAGCATACCCCATATTACCCTTTATGCACTCAGCCCCTAGATAAGAATAAAACTGTCACCAGAATCCCAGAACCAAGGCCAAGCGGAAAAACCCCAAGTAATACGAATACAGGATGTTATTTAAACAAATCATCCACTGGTAGACTAAACATTCTTTATCTAATTGTCACGTTCCCACGTTCAAAGTTCGGACTCGCAAGCTCGAAAACAAAAGTTTTAAATTTCAAATAAACAAAATATGAAGAATCTAAGAGCACTTGTATGCAAGAGCGAACGCACTTGAATCCAAGAGAAATGCTGATAACTCCAAAGCTCTCTCCCTAATCCTAAAAATGCAAAGTCCATATTTGAAAAGCTCGAACCCGAGGCTTGAACGTTAATCAATCTAGAGCAATAAGAGTTCAGTTTGAGACTTAAATTAAGAAGGTCGGTGTTCTCCAAAAATAAAGTGTTGTAATTATTCAGTTAATAAAAATTATATTTTTTTTGACTTATGGAAATTACCAACATATAATTGGCGCAGTCGGTAGGATCATTATTAAATACGAAGTCCTTTAGTACGGTACTGGTCATTTACAGGATATGCTATACAACTAAATAACCTGACCAGCGAATTAAAACAGTGATTTCTAAATTAAATGGATCCGCAAAAGAATCTCATAATAAAAAAAACACGTGTGGTCAGATAAACTCTGCAAACTAATAAAAAATCCCGTGTGGTCAGATAAGCTCT